TTGTTTAATATTAAATATTAAATATAAATTGTTAAATATTAAATAATAAATATAAATTGTTTAATATTAAATAATGAATATAAATTGTTAAATATTAAATAATGAATATAAATTGTTAAATAATAAATATAAATTGTTAAATAATAAATATAAATTGTTAAATATTAAATAATAAATATAAATTGTTAAATAATAAATATAAATTGTTAAATAATAAATATAAATTGTTAAATATTAAATATAAATATAAATTGCTAAATAATAAATATAAATTGTTAAATATTAAATAAAAAATATAAATTGTTAAATATTAAATAAAAAATATAAATTGTTAAATATTAAATATAAATTGCTAAATAATATAATATAAATTGTTACCTCTGTTCATATTTGAGCTTTCTTAATCTTTTTACTGGACAGTTTGGAGTAAAATATCAAATAATTGCAAAGTTGGAACTTTGCAGCTTAAACTGAAAACACTAAAGTAAAGTAAATGTAGTTTTTCTATGGAATATGTAACTGAGGGTTTATCTCTCTGTATCCATTTTGTAGCTTATACTACATGACGTTACCTTTTTGTTTGATTTTTTAGCAGCGTTTGTTATTCCTTTCGTCATCATGATGATCCTTGCTGGATTGCCTCTGATGTTCATGGAGCTGGCCATTGGGCAGTACGCTAATCTGGGTCCAGCTGCTCTCTTCGAACGTTTCTGCCCACTGTTTCAGGGTAACCACCCAGCTAGCAGACTTACTAGTCTTGTTTTATACAGGTGTGGGTCAAATGGTGTTACTCTTTTAGAAATTTTCTTTTTTCAGGTAAAGGTAAAGTTCCATTTCGTTTACTAATATTTAAAACACCTGTGTATTTATACGGCCCACACTATAAATATATTTCTAGTATAGGATACGTTTGGTGTTAAAGGACACTTTGATTTAATTTTGGTAAGTGTTAGTCTTGCCATCACTAAAATTAATTATAGAATAACATAGAAAGTGTGTGTTGTTGTGTACGTTTATGTAGAAATATCAGAACGAATGATTTTAGATTTAGAAGTTTGTGGCGGTCAAAAGGTCAACGTGATGATTAATGATCTTAATATTTTTCAGCAACAGTGATTTACTAATATTTCGAAGAAGGGTCGTGTAACAGATTCAGATTCAGGCAGGGTGTCGAGAACAATATTCATAAATATCTCGACTATGTGGTATTGTTGCACAACAAAGCAAAGAAACATCTCACAAATTGAAAGGATAGAAAACTGCTACCAGAACAACGTCGAAACTTGGATCAGTTCTTGTAACAACAGGTTTATGTATGGTGTTAGTAAATCCAGTTCAGAGAAGTTAGTCTAAATGAGTGTATATTATTTATTTACTCATATTAGAGGTTATCAGCTACAAAAGTAGAAATATTGTCATTCATCTGGTGATGGGTAGTAACGTAAATTGTTCCCTCCACCCCACCCCCCGCGAAAAATATCTGTCGCAAGAATTCAGAACTTACGCGAAACACAAAAGGGGAAGATTCGGTAACCCGATTGGCTACATATTAAGTATTTAAAATTGCCAATTGTTAAAAACGATGTAACGATGGTTCAGATACTGATCTGTGAATGTAACGATGGTTCAGATACTGATCCGTGAATGTAACGATGGTTCAGATACTGATCCACGAATATAACGACGGTTCAGATACTGATCCATGAATGTAACGATGGTTCAGATACTGATCCATGAATGTAACGATGGTTCAGATATGATCCATGAATGTAACGATGGTTCAGATACTGATCTGTGAATGCAACGATGGTTCAGATATGATCCATGAATGTAACGATGGTTCAGATACTGATCCATGAATGTAACCATGGTTCAGATACTGATCCGTGAATGTAACGATGGTTCAGATACTGATCCGTGAATGTAACGATGGTTCAGATATGATCCATGAATGTAACGATGGTTCAGATATGATCCATGAATGTAACGATGGTTCAGATATGATCTGTGAATGTAACGATGGTTCAGATATGATCCGTGAATGTAACGATGGTTCAGATACTGATCCATGAATGTAACGATGGTTCAGATATGATCTGTGAATGTAACGATGGTTCAGATATGATCTGTGAATGTAACGATGGTTCAGATATGATCTGTGAATGTAACGTTACTGGTTTCTGGTAAACTGATTTCCTGTGAGTTTAGGACGTTACTGGTTTCTGGTAAACATTGGTTTTCTGTGTGTTTAGGACGTTACTGGTTTCTGGTAAACATTGATTTTCTGTGTGTTTAGGACGTTACTGGTTTCTGGTAAACTGATTTCCCGTGAGTTTAGGACGTTACTGGTTTCTGGTAAACATTGATTTTTTGTGTGTTTAGGACGTTACTGGTTTCTGGTAAACATTGGTTTTCTGTGTGTTTAGGACGTTACTGGTTTCTTGTAAACATTGATTTTCTGTGAGTTTAGGACGTTACTGGTTTCTGGTAAACACTGATTTTCTGTGTGTTTCAAAAGTCGTCTTTTTATATCCATGCTATATTTTGAAAATCGAAACTAATCTACATTTAAATATATATAACAAACTAATATCATATTTTTCTTTTTCCCTTTCTCTGTTTCTTGTTGCAGGGATCGGATACGGTATGGTTCTGGTTTCGTGTACTGTAATGCTTTACTACAACATGATCATTGCCTGGACTTTGTTCTACATCTTTGCCTCTTGGTCCAGAAGGTTACCTTGGGAAAATTGTGAGCCAGAGTGGAGCTCTGATGGTATGGTGTCTTTAAATAGATTTGAAAGACAGTTATAGTGAAACCATCAATTTTTACGAAGAAGAGATGACGTAGAGTTTTTTTGTTTAACCTGAAACTGGCAAAAACTACAAATGTAATTTTTAAAACAGTTATTCACTATTATTATACCCAGTTATAACACAGTTATTCACTAGCATTACACCCAGTTATAACACAGTTATTCACTAGCATTACACCCAGATATAACACAGTTATTCACTAGCATTACACCCAGATATAAAAAACACTTATTCACTAGCATTACACCCAGATATAACACAGTTATTCACTATTATTATACCCAGTTATAACACAGTTATTCACTAGCATTACACCCAGATATAACACAGTTATTCACTAGCATTACACCCAGATATAACACAGTTATTCACTAGCATTACACCCAGTTATAACACAGTTATTCACTAGCATTACACCCAGATATAACACAGTTATTCACTAGCATTACACCCAGATATAAAAAACACTTATTCACTATTATTATACCCAGTTATAACACAGTTATTCACTAGCATTACACCCAGATATAACACAGTTAATCACTATTATTATACCCAGTTATAACACAGTTATTCACTAGCATTACACCCAGATATAACACAGTTAATCACTATTATTATACCCAGTTATAACACAGTTATTCACT